CGCTGCAGCAAATGGCGAAGAGGCGACTGCAGCAGCACTGCAGCAATTGGAGTGTATAGGCAGGTTTGTTAATATAATTATAATAATAATAATAATAATAATAATAATAATAATAATAATAATAGATAATAGATAATAATAATAATAATAATAATAGATAATAGCTAATACTAATAATAGTAATAATAATAATAATAATAATAATAGATAATAGATAATAATAGTAATAATAATAATAATAATATTTTATTTTTTATCTTTTTCTTGTCTCCTTCTTCTCTGTACAACGTAGTAGAGACTAGCTTATTTCTTCTTTTAAAAATATATGGTTTAGGGTTTAGGCTTTGGGGTTTAGGGTTTAGGGTTTGGGGTTTAGGGTTTAGGGTTTAGGGTTTAGCTGAGAGGGTAGTGGGCTCTTTGATGAGGCTTAGGTACTGCTTAGCAGACACTCCACGCTGTGCAGCAGCAGCAACTGCAGCAACAGAAATAGCAACAGCAGCTGCAGCAGCAGCAACAGCAGCAACAGCAGCGCCTGCAGTAACAGCAGCAGGAGCAGCAGCAGCAGCAGCAGCAGCAACAGCAATAGCAACAGCAGCAGCAGCAGCAGCGACAGCCGACCAGCAGTAACAGCAGCAGCAGCCACGGTCGCAACAGCAGCAGCAGCAACAACAGTTGTTTGTTTATGTTTGTTCTGCTGCAGCTTTGGTGCAGCAGCAGCAGCACTGGAGTTGTTGGTTCAGCGGGGCTTGGAGGTGCTGCAGGGGCATGATAAAGTGCTGACGGGTGTTTAACAAACCCTAAACCCTAAACCCTAAACCCTAAGCCCTAAACCCTAAACTCTTAGCCGTGATGAACCCTTGCTTTTAAGGTGCTGCATGCAGCAGTATGCATGCATGCAGTGATTAGGGTTTAGAGTTTTTGTGCTGCTGCTGTCTGCAGCAAATGGATTGAAGAGACTGTGGGGTGCTGTCGCTCAATACGGAGACCCAGTGCAGCAACTCTACAAGTCAGGCTGCTGCTGTTGCTGTTGCTGCTGCTGCTGTTGCTGTTGCCGCTGCTGCTGTTGCTGTTGGTGCTGCTGCTGCTGCCGATGGTGGTGCTGTTGTAGCTGATGGTGGTGCTGTTGCTGATGCAGTTGCCGCTGCAGTTACTGCTGCTGCTGATGTTGGTGCTGCTGCTGCTGCAGTTGTTGCTGCTTCTGGAGATGTTGCTGCTGCTGCTGGATCGGGTGTTATTTTATCCTTGGTTTCATATTATTTATTTTTATTTATTTTTATTTATTTATTTTTATTTATATTTATTTATTTATTTATTTTTATTTGATATCCAGTTTGCTGTTTTATTTGTTTTGTTTTACGTTGTTATTTATATCTTAAATTTATGTGTATTTATGTACTTGTGTTTATTTATTTATTAATATTTATTAATATTTATTATTTATTTAATTATATTTATTTAATTATATTTATTTATTTATTTATTTGTGCTTTCAGTTTAATCGAGAGGTTTGGCTTTGATGTTGGGGCCTTCCGCTTCTTCAGGGTATTCGCACCCCGCCTTGTTAGTCATTTGCTGCTGCTGCTGTTGCTGCTGCTGTTGCTGCTGCTGCTGTTGCTGCTGCTGTTGCTGTTGCTTCTGTTGCTGCTGCTGCTGTTGCTGCTGCTGCTGCTGTTGGTGGCGCTGGTGCTGCTGCTGTTGCTGCTGCTGCTGCTGTTGGTGGTGGTGCTGCTGCTGCTGTTGCTGTTGGTGCTGCTGGTGCTGCTGTTGGTCGTGCTGCTGCTGCTGCTGTTGGTCGTGCTGCTGCTGTTGCTGCTGGCATTTTTGCGGTTGTCTACTGTGCGTTTGTTGCTGCTGCTGCTGTTTGCTGCTGTTGTTGCTGCTGCTGCTTTTGCTGTTGCTGCTCCTGTTATTGTTTTTGTTTTTGCTGCTGCTGCTGTTGCACTTGCTGCTGGTTTTGCTGCTGCTTTATGCGTGTGTCTGCTATGAATTATGCTGTGGTGTTGCTGCAGACGCAGCAGCAGCAGAAGTTGCTGCGGAGTTTGCTGCTGCAGCTGCGGTCTTCACTTGCTGCTGCTGCTCTCGATGCTGAAGCAAATACTCGCACATTAAGAAGCCTCATTACTGTAGATAAAGCCCTACTAGGTGTGCATGCATGCATTGTTAGTTCAGGGTGTATGCATGCATGTGCGCATGCATGCATGCATACATGCATGCGTTGTTCGTTTGGGGTGTATGCATGCATGCATGCGTGCATTGTTCGTTTGGGGTGTATGTATGCATGCATGCATTGTTAGTTCAGGGTATATGCATGCATGCATGCATGCATGCATGCATGCACACCACAGCCAAAGCCCCAAAGGCGCATGCATGCGTGTTAGGGTTTTTGTGTTTGTTGTTGTTAATTTTGTAGCGCTTGGCGACTGCAGCAAAATAAACAGCAGCGCTGCTGAGAGGCTGCGAGAGTGGCGGCAGCTATTTCTGCTGCACAGCACTGTGAGCTTCCTGCTGCTGCTGCTGTTGCTGCTGCAGCTTCTGCTGTTGTTGCTGCTGCTGCTTTTGTTGTTTTTGCTGTTGCTGCTGGTGTTGTTGCTGCTGTTGCTGCTGCTGTTGGTGCTGCTGCTGTTGTTGCTGCTGCTGCTGTTGGTGCTGCTAGTATTTGTGCACTTGGGGATGCCGTTGCTGCTGTTGGTGCCGCAGCTGCTGTTGCTGCTGTTGCTGCTGTTGCTGCTGCAGCTGCTGCAGCAGCAGCAGCAGCAGCAGCAATTCTGCAGTGTGTGTTGTTTGATTTGGCGTTTGCGGATTTCTGCTGCGCTTACATGCAACAAGGCGCAGCAAACTCACCACCACTGCTGTTGCTGCTGCTGCTGCTGTTGCTGCTGCTGTTGCTGCTGCAGCGCAAGCGACTGGAATGTCTAGCTGCAGAGTTTGTTGGGTTGTCTGTTGAAGTGCTGCTGCGGTGGGATCGGCAGCAGGAAGAAACGAGAAAAGAAGACGGCACTCAAGAGCAAGACCGTAAGCTGCTGCTGCTGCTGCTGCTGCTGCTGCTGCTGCTAGTTCTGCTGCTGCTGCTGCTTGTGCTGTTGTTTCTGCTGCTGCTGCTGCTTGTGCTGCTGCTGCATGTGCTGGTGCTGCTTGTGCTGTTAGTGTTGCTGTTGTTGCTGCTTTTGTTTATGGTTGTGGTGCTGCTGCTGCGCTCCCTGTTGAGCAGCAAATGCCTCATATCTTTTTAGCATCCATCTATGCTGCTGCTGCTGCTGCTGCTGCTGCTGCTGTGTTTTGCTGCTGATTTGCAGCTTGGATACGGCGACGGTTTTTGTTTGAGGCACTCGCGTGGATTGACGCGGTGGGCAGCTAGCTGCTGTTGCTGCTGTTGCTGCTGTTGCTGTTGCTGCTGCTGCTGCTGTTGCTGCTGCTGTTGCTGTTGCTGCTGCTGTTGCTGTTGCTGCTGCTGCGGCAGGTTGCCGTATACAATATGTACATAGTATATATTAAATACAAAATATTATATATAATATATATGTTGTACGCTATTATTTTATTTAATATTATTTAATATTATTTTATATAATATAATATAATACTATATAAACCCTATAAATAAACAAATATATTTATATATATATTTATATATTTATTTATATATTTATTTATTTATATATTTATTTGTACAGGGTTTATCGGTGGAGGGTGTAGCAGAGTCTCCGGTGCTGCAGCAGCTGCGCTTAGGCGTCTCCTTTGCAGCAGGAAATGTTTTAGCTGTTGATGCTGCTGTTGCTGCTGCTGATGCTAAGCATGTGCTGCTGCTGTCTCTGGGGCTCTTCCTTACCAGTGCTCAGCTAGACTATGGATATATGTAACACACAAACCCTAAACCCTAAACCCTAAACCCTAAACCCTAAACCCTAGATACCTTATAAACCCTCGTAACCCTAAAACCCTGTAAACCCTTTAAACCCTAAGCCATCAAACATATAAACCCTAAACCCTGTAAACTCTAAACCCTAAAAACCCTGTAAACCCTATAAACCCTAAACCGTACAAACCCTACACACTTTGTAAGCCCTCTTTGTTGCTGCTGTATCTGCTGCTGCTACATCTACTGCTGCTGCTGCTGCTGCTGCTGCTGCTGCTGCTGCTGCTGCTGCTGCTGCTGCTGCAGATTGCATGTGGGGAAGCTGTGTAGGATGTGGGTGGATACGCAAGAGGAGACGGCTAGCTCGGTGAGTGTGTTTGTTTGTTTTAATGCATTCTTTTTATTTATTTTTTCAGGGTTTGTTTATATCTTTTGCTCCGTCTTTGTTTCGTCTATTTGTTTTGCTGCTGTCTCCTCCTCTCTGTCTCCTTTCTGTCTCCTGGAGGCTCTTCGTCTCTCTCCTTGCTGCTGTAGTGTTGCTGCTGCTGCTGCAGCTGTCTGTACACCTCAACCTGTAACAGCAACAGCAACAGCTGGTGCTGCTGCAGCAGCAGGAGCAGGATGTGTCAGTGCAGCTGCTACTGCAGCACCAGCTGCAACAGTTGCAGGTTGCAGCAGCAGCTGCTGCTGCTGCTGCACCGAAAGCAGCGTCAGCAGCAGCAGCAGCAGCAGCAGCAGCAGCAGGTGTTAGTGTAGGGGGGCATGTGTGTATTGTTTGGGTGTATGTACAGTATGCAGAGTATTCTTCTGCTGCAGCAGAAGAAAATAACTTTAGCTGTCTCTCTGAATACTGGTTGCTCGGGCTGCAGACGCAGCACTCTCTTGATGGGCTTCTGGTGTCTCTGCAGGTTTGTTAGCTTTCTTGTCTGTCTCCTTTGCTTACTCTTCAAACCCTTGTCTCTTCTTTTTCTTCTTGCTGCAGTGCTGCTAATGCTGCTGCTAATGCTGCTGCTAATGCTGCTCCTAATGCCGCTGCTAATGCTGCTGCTAATGCTGCTTCTAATGCTGCTGCTAATGCTGCTGCTAATGCTGCTGCTAATGCTGCTGCTCCTTTTCGTCTCTTTCTTTTTTGGCTTTTTATTATTTTTTTTTATATTTCTTTGATATCTCTTTGTCTTCAATCTGTCTCCTTTGTTCTTCTTCTGTCTCTCTTTTGTTTCTTCTCTGTCTCTCTTTTCTCTCTCCTTATAAACATTTAATTATATATATTCATAAATACTTTTAGTTGTATACACTTATATATATATATATATAAGTATAGATATAGGTATATAGATATAGATATATATATATATATATGTTGTATGTTTCTTTGTAGGGTGCTTATTCTCGTCTGTATGACTTAGGGGGCCCTGGGCCCTCTTCTTCTTTAATAGATGCATCTCTATCTCTTTGTCTTTCGTCAAATCTTCATCAGCAGATTCTAAACTCTTATCATAGCTCGCATCAATCACTGCAGTGGCTGTTAACAGCAATAGCTCTTACCCCTACCACCTATGATCAATCAAACACACAAGAGGGGGGCCCCCTACAGAGGGCCCCAGAGATAGACGGCCCCAAAGGGGCCCCCGATGGGGGGGCCACTTCAGAGGGCCCCCATAGGGGGCCCCCCACAGAAACTACTGAAGGAAAGGGCCCCGAAGGGGCCCCCTCATCAGGAGGCCCCAATGGGGGGGCCCCTAAGGGGGCCCCTGATGGGGGGGCCCCTGATGTGGGGGCCCCTGATGAGGGGGCCCCTGATGGGGGGGCCCCTAAGGGGGCCCCTGTGTCTCGGGGTGCATTGTTAGGGGCATTGTACCCTTTGACGAGTATTGATTTGGGTATAGGGGCCCCTCGTTTGCTGCGAGGAGAAGAGTTAGTTGCACATGAGTTGGCGCATCCAGCAAGGAGAGCCTTGTTGCTGCTGAAGGCTCTTAAAGCACTTAAAGAACAGCAGCAGCAGCAGCAGCAGCAGCAGGAAGGGGGCGGAGACGAAAGAAAAGATAAAAAGAGAGAGAAGCAAGATCAAGAGGGAGAGACAAGAGACAGAAAAACGGATAAACAACAGCAAAATAGAGACTGTCTCCTCTCTGCAATTAGAGAGCCCCTGTTTGCTGCTGCTGCTGCTGCAGTAGAAGAGAAGGCCCTCTTTGCTCATTGGATTGCTGAGATGTATGTTTATTTATTTGTTTCTTTGCCTGCTTTATTGTTTCTTTCTGATGTTTGTTTGTTTGTTTCTTTATTTGTTTATTTGTTTATTTGTTTATTTGTTTGTTTATTTGTTTGTTTATTTGTTTAACTGCGTTTTTTATTTACTGAGTACATCGTTTGCATATTTATTTGTTTGCCTCTCTGCTTCTGTCTGCTTTTTTTAAATATGTTGGCTTTGTTCTTCCTTTACTCTTTTGTTTAGGGTTTAGGGTTTAGGGTTTAGGGTTTAGGGTTTAGGGTTTAGGGTTGTATTCATCTCCTCCCTCTCTTGTACCCTCCATCCCGCGTGCATGCAAAGTGCATGCATGCATACATGTATGCATGCATACATGTATGCATGCAAAACGCATGCCTGCGTGAATGCATGCATGCATTCATGCATGCATTCATGCATGCATGCATGCATGCATGCATGCATGCATGCGTTTGTATGTTGATGTTGATTTATAGGCGTCCTGACCCTTGGAAGAGCATTTGGCCTTCGCGTTTATTTGGAAGCCAATCGATGCATGCGTTGCTACGCCTGGAGTCGGTAGAGGATGCTTCTTTTTCTTTTTCTTCTTTATCTTCTGATAAAGCAAACAATTCTATTATATCCTCTTCTTCTTCTTCAGCAGCAGCAGCAGTAGCAACAGCAGCAGCAGCAGCAGCAGCAGCAACAGGGGGTGAGCAGCTGTTTGCTGCTCCTCTAACAGCAGCAGAGCAGCAGGTGCTGCAGTCTGTTGCAGGATTCATAGGTAGGGGGGCCCCTTCTCCTTTTGCTGCTGCTTGGGAGCCTCAGCAGCAAGAGACAGCAGAGAGCTGCTGCTCCTGCTGCACTTCTTCGCCGTGCAAATCGCGGAGAGACCAAGGAGGAAGTGCTGCTGCTGCTGCTGCTGCTGCTGCAACAGCAGCACCAGCAGCAGATGCTTCTGGTGCTTTAAACAATGTAAAGGAGACAGAAGAAGAAGAGACAGATGAACAGATTTACTCAAACTCTGCATTAGAAGATGCTATTGCATCTTTACGCCGCTCAATTCCCGGAAGGGCAAGGTAAACAAAAACCCTAAACCCTAAACCCTAAACCCTAAACCCTAACCGCGCACCTTGGCTGCAAACCAAATGAAATGAAGCTCCCCGCAATCTAAATCAGCATTTACCTATTAATGTTCACCGTTTAGGGTTTACGGTTTAGGGTTCTTTAGTGTTTAGGGTTTAGGGTTTAGGGCTTAGGGCTTAGGGTTTAGGGTTTAGGGTTTGGGGTGCTGCAGACGCCTGCGTCTTCTTTTTGTGATAATGCAACCCTCTTTGGATTATGGGGAGGCGCGTCTTCAAGAAATAGACAGATATATTGCAGAGCTCCAGCAAGGCCTTAATGGTAGGTCTCTAGCATCTACTTCAGGGTTTATTAGGGTTTACTAGGGTTTATTAGGGTGTATTAGGGTTTATTAGGGTTTACTAGGGTTTATTAGGGTTTACTAGGGTTTATTAGGGTTTACTAGGGTTTAGTAGGGTTTACTAGGGTTTATTAGGGTTTATTATGGTTTACTAGGGTTTATTAGGGTTTATTAGGGTTTATTAGGGTTGCTTATTATTATTGTTTATTATTATTTATTTTTTGCTGTTGTTTGCTTTTGCTGTTTGTCTTTGTTTCCTCTTTTTTTATAATTACGTTTTATATTATACATAATATAATATGTGAATTGGGGCTCAAGAGGGATTAGGGTTTAGGGTTTAGGGTTTATTCGTATTATTACTATTATTATTATTATTATTACTATTTACTATTATTATTAACTATTATTACTATTATTACTATTTACTATTATTATTATTATTATTACTACTTACTATTATTATTATTATTATTTATTATTGTTATTTTTTTATTTTTATTATTATTATTATAATTATTTTCTTGTTTGTTTTTTTCAGGCTCAGTTTGCAGTTCTTTTTCTTCTGCTTGGCCTTCCGCTGCATGCAGCCAAACAAACATTTTGGGGTCTTCTCGCTGCTGCTGCTCGACCTGCGCTGTGTTATTTGGGGTGTATAGGCAGCAGTGCCTCATACTACAAGTTTTAAGGAGAGCTATGAACCTACACAAACAAACCCAGGTACGTCTAGGGTTTAGGGTTTAGGGTTTAGGGTTTAGGGTTTAGGGTTTTGGGGTTTGGGGTTTGGGATTTGGGTTTAGGGGTTAGGGTTTTAGGGGTTTATAGATTAGGGTTTAGGTTTGATGATTTAGGGTTTTGAATTTAGGGTTTAGGGTTTTGTGTTTAGTTTGTAGGGATTAGGAGTAAGGGTTTAGGGTTAAGGGTTTAGGGATAAGGGTTAAGGGTTTAGGGTTTAGGGCTTAGGGTTTAGGGTTTAGGGTTTGTGGTTGCATGCAGAGCTGCACGAAGGAGGGTTTGGCGGAGGAGACAGTCTCTATTTCAAATCATTTTTGTGAAGCCTTAGACAGCTGCAGAGGTATTCAATATTTTGTTTCTTCTTCTTTTTTAATCTTTTCTTTGTTTCTTTATTGTCTTTTGTTTGTCTCCTTTTGTCTTTTTATTTGTCTCCTTTTGTCTCTTTATCTGTCTCCTTTTGTCTTTTTATTTGTCTCCTTTTGTCTTTTTGTTTGTCTCCTTTTGTCTTTCTTTCTGTTTTGTATTGTCTTTTTGTTTGTCTCCTTTTGTCTTTTTATTTGTCTCCTTTTGTCTTTATATTTGTCTCCTTTCTGTCTCCTTTTCTTTTTATATTATTTTTCTTTTCTTTTTGTTTTCATCTTCTTTTTGTCTCCTTGTCTTCATTTGCGTCTTCTCTAATATTTCTTTCTGTCTCCTTTTGTCTTTCTTTTATTATTCTTTTTTGTCTCCTCGTCTTTTTATTTATTTATTTCTTTTATCTTTATTTTTTATTATTTTTTGTCTCCTCATCTTTTTATTTATTTATTTATTCTATGTTTTATTTTTTAATTATTTTTTGTCTCTTTCTGTCTCCTTTCTGTCTTTTTTTCTGTTGCATTTATCTCGGCTTTCTTTTTTGTGTCTCCTTCGTTCTTTGTTTATTCTTTTATGTCTTTCTCTTTATTTTATTTATATTTGTTTTATTGTTTATCTCATTTGTGCTGTCGTTGGAGTGTATCCACACCTTTACTTTTCCTGCTTTGTTTTTAGGGTGTACACGCACATTACAGAGAGTTATTAATTATGTTTTGTTTTTAATTCTTTTATTTTATTTTCTATTCTTTTCTTGCTTATACTATTTGAGGTGTATATACACCGGATTAATTCTTTTATTTTATATATTTTTTCTCTTGCTGTTTATTGTTTGGGGTATATGTACACAGAATTTTTGATGATGTGCTGCAGTTGAGGTGTATATACATATACATCGCCTTAATCCTTGTATATCGTATTATATATATATATTTTTTTATTGTTTATTGTTTGAGGTGTATGTACACAGAGGTTTTGATGATGTGCTGCACTTCTGTCTTCGATGGTGTTGGAGAGCTGCGCGGTTTGGGGCGGCCGGCTGTTGCTGCTGCTTCTCGAGCTCAGCGTTTATTACTTTTTGATGGTTTGTTCGGGTTAGCTCAAGCAGCATCTGTCTCCTTTGCACTTATTCTCTTCGTCTTGCAGCAACTCACGGTAACCCTAAACCCTAAACCCTAAACCCTAGACAACATATACACCGTAAACCACACAATTCAGTGGTCGAACACACATACCTGTACTGCTCAAACTTTCAAAGGGATTAGGGTTTAGGGTTTAGGGTTCACACCTATGCACTAAGCTAGACGGGCTGCTGAGGTCTCATGTTTTAGGGTTTAGGGTTTAGAGCTTAGGGTTTGGGTGCAGCAGCAGCAGCAGCAACAGCAGCAGCAGCAACAGCAGCAGCAGCAACAGCAGCAGCAGCAATAGCTGTGGAGTTTCACTTTGACAGTCTGCGGCTGGGGAAGGGAGAGGAGCCTTGAACAAACCTTCGTTGCTTTTGCTGCTGTTGCTGCTGCTGTTGCTGCTGTTGCTGCTGCTGCTGCTGCTGCTGTTCGCATGCAGCTGTGGAATGAAGCCTTCAAGCGTAGCTGCAGCAACGAGATAACTGTCTTTGGGGCTGTTTTGCGCGATTGCAAACCCTCATTGCATGCATTCCTAGAGTGTATGAAGGGCCAGCATAAGAGCGTAAGCAATTCATGTTTCGGGTTTAGGGTTTAGGGTTTAGGGTTTAGGGTTTAAGGTGTGAGGGTTTAGGATTTTAGGGCTTCAGGGTTTAGGGTTTAGGATGTTAGGGTGTAGGGTCTCGGGTTTATTTTTTAGGGTTTAGGGTTTAGGGTTTATTGTTTCAGGTATATTATTCAGGGTTTGTAGTCTATTGTTTCGGGTTTATTATTTAGGGTTTATTGTTTATTGTTTAGGGTTTACTATTTAGGGTTTAGGGTTTAGGGTTTAGGGTTTAGGGTTTAGGGTTTAGGGTTTAGGGTTTGGGTGTTCAGTTGGTTGAGGCGATGAACACTGCGCGTCAGTTGGAGTCAATTGGCCAACCGCCTTGGATAAATTTTTCTTCAAATAATTTGATGTATACACTGCAGGATGACCCCGTAAGAATTATTATTATTATTATTATTATTTATTATTTATTATTTATTATTATTCTTTGTATTATTATTATTATATATATATTATATATGTGAGCATTACGCAAGAACAGGCCAGCATATATATAATATATATGCAGTGCAAAAAGGTGTACATGCATTGATATATATATATATATATATATATATTATATATAGATATATATATATATATATAG